GGAACGTGGGTTCAGGTATTTTTCTCTCTTGGAATTGGATTTCATGCATTTTTGGCCTTTCTCCTACCTAACTGGCGGCAATTTACTGCTGTGTGCTCTCTCTGGGGACTGGTTCTTATCATTCCATTTTTGTAAGTGTTGCAATAAAATTGTTTACATGATTAACTAATATGGTTATATAAAAAATATTAAAAGATAAGCATAGACAAAGTATGCTATATGTGTATTATTGATAAATATTTACTGATCTGGTGTTTATTTGTACTGAAAAACTATTTCATTTACATTTTGGTAATATATTTATTTTTTAATCTAATGTATATGCAATTAACTTATTCTTAATGTTAATGGGGTATTTAAAGTTTCTGATATATCTCAATGTCAAAAGGTAATTCTCAGTTAATAAAATATAAAATTTATTAATGTAAATGTTACAAAAAATATTTAAAGCATACATTTGTAAATAACCAATTAGACTACAATTGTCACTAATGAATAAGCCACAATTATTTTTTTTTGTAAATCAAAAACTGTTCTAACCAATGGAACCTGTTCCATATATATATTATAATGTATAGGATCAGGTAATACTTTATTTTTATGGTGATGTGTATTTTAAATGCTAAGTGTGTATAATCTGTAATCCTATTCTTTAATATGTAAATTGTCTCTCTCAACAATTATAATACAAAAATACATTTAATAGAAATTGTAATTAACTTTTACCATAACCAGAAAATGATAAATCACATATATTTCATATTAGACCATACTTTGTAAATAGTTATTACTTTTTGATATAATTTTTGCAACAAAAAGTCCTAAATGTATTATGTTTAAAAAAAACAACTTTAAAATAAATTATTTTATTTTGAGTGTACTTACTGATTACAGCTATTGTTTTGTTACAAGTTACAGCTTTTACAGTAAGGAAAATAATTCTATAACAGGCAGGTATGATGTTTAGATCACTGGTGCAATCAGTCTCAAGTACACAAGTTTTAATGGTATAGGTTCTAGTATTTAAAGTATGTTAATTTAAATGCTAAAACTTTCTTACTGTTAAAACTTTATTTGAGAATGATCACACCAGTAATTGAAATGTCATACCTGTTCTAAAAAATATTCTTCCTTAGTTTAAAACCTATAACTTGTAATAAAGCAATGCAATATAAATACTGTTCTTTGTTCTCTCAAGGTGCCATTTGTATATATATATAATTCTGTTTGACTAAGATTCTGAGAATTTCTAGTTCTGATGTGGTTAAATGTTTTGACACTTGACATGTGATTTTAGAGTACACTGTGACTTTACACATACTGCATTGGCATTCAGAAATAATATTTCTGTTTCCAGTTGGATTCAAGAAAGTCCACGTTGGCTTCTTATTCATGGTCATAGTCTTGAAGCCAAAAGAGTATTGCAGTTAATTGCAGAAGGAAATGGTACTGCTCATCGTTTGCCAGAAAACTGGGACTTGCGGGAAAATAACAGAGGTTCAAAGAAAAAACATGGAGCTTCAGTTTTGTTTAAACACAAAATTTTAAGAAAGCAACTTGTGATACAACTGTTTTCCTGGTAAAAAACCTTGATTACCTAATTATAAGCTAGAAATACTTGAATCCTAAAGATGACAAACTGCAAAAGCTTACTTATATTTTATAGTTTTAGTTTTTAATACTTATTCAGTTATAAATTCATATTATTCAATGTGTTTGCTATGACATAATGGTTGTGTTTAAATGTGAACTACTTAGACCTGATTTTAGGTTTAAATAAGGCTCTTTATAAAAAAATAATGATCAAGTATCTTTTAGTAGTTTTTGAACTACACTTTTTGTGCATAATAAATGGGTTGAAAACATGAAGCTTTAATTTTGAATATTTCTGTAAATTAGACCACATCAAAATTTTCTAGATTCATTTTAAACCTAATTTATGTTTTATTTACTTTTAAGTAATATTTTAAGTTAACTTAGTTATTTTAATGCCTAATTAGTTTGAAACAATATAAATAATAAACAATCACTCACCAAGTTAGGCTATTTCCCTACCAATTAATACCACATATTATATTTCTCAAGTAGGTTTATACACACATTGTTCATGTCAATCTCAGAGTATATTGCTTGTAGGAAGCTATCATTAAAATTGTCTGTTCCCAGTAAAATCTTGTGACTAAACGATTGATTTGGGTGATTTGTCTTATGTCATATGACATGTTAGTAAATGCTGATTGGACAAAAGTTATGCCACAATGTTTTAGCAGCAAACTTTGTATAACAATGACAGGAAGTGAACAAATGCTAAGAGAATTTACATAATGGTGGCAGTGGGATAACATGTTCACACGAGTCAAACCCAAGCTGAGAAAGCAGAAAAAATAGAATGAATAGTGTATACATATGCTAATTCTTGCTGGTCTCCTATTCAATTCCACGTTCAGATGAATACTGTAACAACTTACCTAGCCCAAGAATGACTTCTGTATGATCCTTGTAAGATAGAGATTGTTGCTGTTGTAAATTCCAGCTTCCAGTTGTCTTAATAATAGTGATAATATCCTCATAATCACATGAACTCATGCTCTGTTATAAACTTGTTTGTGAATTTTAATAGACAGATGAATTTTGATTCATATACTTCAAAAGATCCAGCCTATTAATGGCTTTTATAGAATCATCATCATCAGCATTTTGAACAGGATATGCATTACTATTTTCTGTAATGCATCCAACAACTTTATATGGTGTCATATTCCAGTGATCTTGAATTTTCAACCTACCTTTAGTTCTATTCCTCAAAAGAAGTTTGGTAATAATTTTAAAATCTGAAAACTTACCTTTTCTGTTACGTCTTCATTTCCACTGTTGAGCTTTCTTATGAATCCTGCAATTACCACTTTTGATAAGATACTTCATTCTAATCCAATGCTGCAAAATCCAATCATCCATCAATTTTACAGGGAGCAACAAATCAGAACTTTGAAATGAAACCGTTGATCAGCAGTCGAGGCTTATGCCCAAAAAACAACATATAATGACTCATTCCTGCCATTGCATGTGGTGTGCAATTGTATACATTAACAAACTGTTGAAGAAAATCAAGACATGTATCTAATGTGCATAGCACGTCATGCATGGTCTGATTAAATCTGTCACACTGAAAATTTCCTTGTGGGTGATTCCTAAATTTGAAAATGCCATAAACCATACATAACTCGAATAATGTTATTCTGGAAAATCTTACCATGATTGCCGTGTAATCTCTTTGGGATCCCTAGCCAGTTGAACCATTCTCTAACAAGAATTTGGGCTACAGTCTTTGCTGTCTGATCTTTTGGTTGGAAGAGCGACAATGTATTTTGAGAAAACATCTGTCATGATGAGTATGTTTTCTTATCCTGATGACGACATTTCAAGGACTGAAAAATCAATAGTTATTATATCAAGCAGTTGATTTGCTTGAAAATGTTGCATTTTTGTCTTACCTCTTGGGAATGGTTCCTAGGCAACATTGTATCAATTGTAATTATGGACGAACTGTTAAGTGTCTTGAAACAATGTTGACCAATAATACCTGGACCTAATTAAGTCAACTATCCTGTCTATGCCTTTATATCCAGAAACAGTATGCATTTGTTCCAAAATTATGGTCCTCAATGCCATAGGAACAACAAGCAAGAATTTCTTGACTCTGTCTCAGACAATTTCCCTACATAATAGACTGTCAACAAGTTTAAGTTGGTTTCAATGTTTTAATTACCTTTTCAGTTGAACCTTCACCTGACTAATCCACGGATCGTTTTTGATGCTGCAAACACTTGATTACATTGGATATATAAGGGTCATCTTGCTGTAAAAATTTTATGTCATACTCTGAGTAATTATTCAATATGCCAGTATGAATATCTTCTAACATGACAAATTCTACAACTTCTAAGGAAATTTGGGATATAACTTCATCTGGTAAGTATGTGTGTTAGTATGCTCAGGAATATAAGATACAATTTTTCTTATGAATAAAAAGTTCAGATACTGTGTTGTGTCTCAGGGCTTTAGGTGTAAGATTGGACTTACCAGACTTATACCTTATATGAAAGTTAAAATCGGCTAATTTGGTGAGCTTTCTCATATTGCTGGTTGTATGTTTTGCTATCATCATTCAACTAAGAGAGTAATTGTTGGTCTTAATAATAAAGGATTGTTGTGTACCATACAGATAATCTCAAAACTTTTTGGTGATCATCCAATGCAATGCCAAAAATTAGTTTCATTGAACTGTAGTTTTTGAGTGTCTGTTCATCTGTTTTCGTCTATGACTGGTGTTTGCTATAACATTTGGAAATTGTAGAAGAGGTGCAGTTGTCAAACAGAGTTTTAACTTATCAAACACAGTCTGACAATCCTAAATTCAATTCTGCTCCTTGTATTTAGTCTTTATCTTTTTTACTAGAGAGAATATTGTATATCGGTCCTGCAATGTGGGCAAAACCTTTAATGAATCTCCTGAAGTAACTTACTAAGCCTAGGAACTGGCTTAAAGTCATATTAGACATTGGCTTTGGGAATTCTTCTACTGTCTTAATTTTTTTTTTATTTGTCTATTCCTTTGGATGAAATAGTGTATCCAAGAAATGCTCGTTGAAAAAAGTGACATTTAGTTGGCTGAAGTTTTAGATGAAATTGATGTTGTAACATCTCAGAAATGGAGCTGCGTGTAGACTAAAATGTCATCAAAGTTGAAGATTATGCCTTCTTGAGAATTATTACCAAAACATTTATGCATCAAATGAGAGAATGCTGCTGGGCTGTTACAGAGTCCAAATGGTAATCTTGTACATTTGTACAATGAACTTAATGCTCTGAATGCTGTTTATGTGCATCTTCTGGGTTCAATTTAATCTGCTTGTAGACCTGGGTAAAATATATATGAAGAAAAAAACTTTGCTCCTGAAAATGAATTTATACAATTCTCAATATTAGACAAAGGAAAAGTATCTTTGATCATTTCATTGTTAAGAGATTTATAGTCGACATATATTCTGAGATCACCTATCTTTTTGCACACCATCACCATTTGGGAAGCAAAGAGGTTGTTGCTATACATTATTACCCCAGCATTTAATAAATTCTTGATGACTTGTTTCACTTCATCTTTGGTGTGAGGAGGTAAACACCTGTTGGGGTGCTTGATTGGTACGTCATCTAGGGTCTAAATATAGTGTTGAACAATATTGATCGAGCCAATATGAAAGTCATGATGACTAAAGACTAGGGATGCGTGGGTACCCAGCCAGATATTTGGCCCTGGCCGGGTATTGGATTTCCTGGTAATATTCGGCTCTGGCCGAGTGTCGAAGTTAAAAACAGCCGAATCCGGATAATTGAAAATAGCATCTAGACCTTAATCTTTGTGCCAACTTATGCAGTATTGAAAGTTAGTCAATAATTAGTTTAGTTAAAAAAATGTGTTCTGAGCAATAAAGACTGACCACCCGCTGAAAGTCGGGATTCAGAAAACAATAGGGGGTTAATAACAGGCATTGCTTGAGAAGTGGATTTTTGGGGAAGGTGGGGGCTAGGCATTGAAAGTTGAAAGTAAAACTTGAATGTTCTGTTGGTGATTATTTGGTTAAATGTCAAATTTTGTTTTTGTTTCTAATTTCTGTATATGTTATTTATTTTTTGAGGGCGAGGGGAGAACCTAGTTTTGGTTGACACCTGGCTGAAGTTTAGTGTCCTGGATCTGGTATTCAGCCAAATTTTACTACCCATACATCCCTACTAAAAACATTATAATACTGTACAAAAAGACTAACAAGTTCTTGGTGTTCATGCTTTGTGAAAGTTGTATCACTTTAAAAGGCAGATCTTAAAGGGTCTTAATATCAGATGTCATTTCCTTTGTTTCAAAATCAGGTAACATTTGCTCACAATATGACATTTTTGCTATTTGTGATGGTCAACAAATTACGATGTCAGCTGAACCTAAATTAGTTACGCGAAACAACTCATGATCTTGTGCGTCAATTTTTGTCAAAGTAGGAACTACAAACAAATCGGGAAATAGTGATGAATCAGACTGCTCAACTATGCAGAGTAGTTTGGTGGTAGCAGTCACCTGGTGTTCTTGATAGTTTTAGTAGTGTTAGAAGGTATTTAAAGATTGGTTCCCATTATTTTAATGAACCCCAATATTCCTGACTTGCTCTTGTCAAGTTTCATGCAAATTTGTTGACATAGTTGAAAATTAGATGTATACTGCTTAACTTGCAGATGAAGAACTTGTTCATTATTACTTACAGAAGCTAAATCCTTGGACAAAAAAATATTGATAGTGTTGTGTGATGTTACATCCCAACACACCTGGTATCAACTCTTTCCTTTCCCACACATCAACATTGATTGAATCTTCAATTATGAAAACATAGATGTTTTCAAATTGCTTTTCATTCCATATGATGTCAGATACCATAATCCCTATAATAGCAATATTAATGCCATTAGCTGCCAATAAGAAATCCAGTTGCAATCAAATACTTGTTGGTCTTTGAAATGTTTTTTGAAACATGATCAGTGATAGTAGTTATCTCAGATCCAGAGTCAACAAGGCATGCCAGTGGTGTACCATTCATTGTTACTTCTGTAACTAGACATTTACATATCACTTTTTGCAAGTTATTTGGCTTATTAAAAAATTTTTTACTAATGGAGTCCAAAGCTTTACTCAAGATAGACTCCGAAATCATGAGTGGTTTTAGTTTGTTGAACTTGTATGTTGAGTTCCAATCATATTAGGGTGAATAATGGAATCGGAAAGATGCTGTTTTTTAAAATAACAATATTCGGCAATATGATTCAGATGATAACAGTATTGACAAAAGATGGCTTTAAAATTATGTTTTAAATGAGGCTCAATTGAAGTGTTATTTGCAGAGGCCTTTCATATATTGTCTTGTTTTGGTTGCCAATTACCTAGGCATCTGTAACCAGAGCAGTAATAAGGTCTAGACTGATAGTTGTTTTCTTGTTTCCCTTTCTACATATTTTGGGTAAAAGTTTTGATCTGTTTTTCTTATCATTGAACAGTTTTTTGTAAAGTAGAAATGATGAACTTATAGCTGAATAAAGTTCTTCAGCATCTTTTGTGCAACATTTCACTTAATCCCTTAGCTCATAGAATTTATGTATCAGCTCTTCACAGTTCAATCTTCTCATTTCACGCAGTAAACTGATTTTGATCAACCGTTCAGCAGATCTGTCTTTCAAATGTTGATCAGCATCACAATACAATGTAGGGGTCTTTTCTTTGTAGGAGAAGAAATTTCTGAATGATAGTTTTGGAGTAGTCATCAACAGTCATATCTCCTTGTTCTATGTGAAAGAAGTCTTGTTGTAACTCAAACAGATTCTTTCACCCCTTAGATGTCAAGTAGTACTTCAAGTATAATGCAATAAGTAAGTACGTGCAATGAGTAAGTGTGAATATGTTGCAATAGAAGTGAGTGAAACACTAACTTTGATAACTGACTGTGATATCTAAATCAAATTTTAACATGCATGTATTAGCCTAATGACAAAATTTAATTTAAAAAACTAAGTTTTTTGTTTTAATTTGAAAGAGAAGTTTGTTATGAATTTTGCACAAAGCTACATAAGGGCTATCTGCGCTAGCCGTTTCTAATTTAGCAGTGTAAGACTAGAGGGAAGGCAGCTAGTCATCACCACCCACTGCCAACTCTTGGGTTACTCTTTTACCAATGAATAGTAGGATTGATCATCACATTATAATGCCTCCAAGGCTGAAAGGGCGAGCATGTTTGGTGTGATGGGGATTCGAACCTGTAACCCACAGATTGCGAGTCAAGCGCCCTAACCACCTGGCCATGCTGCGCCAATTTGAGAGAGAAAAAGTCTAATCAAAATAACTTTAACTAAATTCACAAAAATTTAACCAAAGGAAGATTCAAAATCCAAATTTATATTGAAACTTTAAAGCAAATCAAATGACTGAAAAAATTTAACAAAGGAATTACAATAATTTATATTACTAATCTAACAAATTTATAAATTAGTTGAAGTTTCTAGAAATTTTATGTAATAGCATCGCTCAAAATATATGTATTCGGTAGAACCAACCAATCAGTGATCCAGGAAGTAGAACACAGCTATATGATGCACACTCAAAAATATGTGAACTTGGAAGCTCTGAAGAGATGAGTATTGTCTCACAAAAAACTAGAAAATTTAGCAAAGAAAATTATGGACAAGCCAAAAAGAAACAAATATTTTTTTCCTAAGTATTATATTTAGTTAATTTATACCTCATTATTTAGAAATAAATAATAAACAATCACTTGCCGAATTTAGCTAGTTTATACACTAGGTTTATACACACATTATTCATGTCAATTTCAGACTATTGCTTGTAGGAAGCTGTCATTAAAATCATCTGTTCCCAGTAAAATATTGTGACTGAACGATTGATTTGTCATATTGATATGTTAGTAAATGCTAATTTGATGAAAGTCATGCCACAATGCTTTAGTGGCAAACATTTTATAACAATGACAGTAAGTGAACAAGTGCTAAGAGAAGTTACATTAAGAACTTTGATTTTACATGTACATACAGACATAGGACAAAAAAAATTAAACACCTTCTCCAGGTGAGATGTAAATTCTATTCCATGATAACTGTCAAGTAACATGGGAAAAAAAGAATAACTTAACTGACTTTGAAATAGAATAATTTGTAGGAACCCAGTTAGTACCATAGGTGCTTTAGTAACCCATGTTGTATGACTTCTTGGTTTTGCAAGAGGAACAGTTTCAATGGTTATTACAACACAGTTTTGTTTCCCATCAGATAAATATAACAATGGTTGGAAGATCGTCATAAGTTAATGGGACCACCATGCCTTACAGCACATTGTGTTTTTGAAGAATGGAATTGAATTCCTCTGCACACCTTTCAGGCACTTGCGGGTGTCCTGTAACAAAACATTGGAGCATTTCTAACAGCCAAAGGTAGAGCCACACATTGTTATACTGTTTCCATTTTCTTGTCCAACCCTGTATGCATGTATACTTCTGGTCAATTGTAAGTACCATCATCTAATAACATCAGTTGGCCCTTTTATGTAGTAATGGCTAGCAGCTGGAAACCTTATATTAATTCACATTGTGTGTTCTTTTGTCCACAGACACCTCACGCAGTTTTGAAGCTAGCAGGACTAAACTTGGCATGTGGATTTAGCATGGTCCAGAGTATGTCCTTACCTATTAGGTGTAGAACTCCTGTAAAAGTGGGTTAAAAAACACGTGGAAAGGGATTTAGATGTTTGGTGTCAGTGAGCTCAGATCTAGCATCTTATTTTGTGTTTCTGACCCCCTCAGATTCCTGGGGTGCCAAAGGAGAAACTGTATTCATACCCCCACTCACAGGCTTGCATAACCAAATGTGGCACAACAGGTGCTCAAGTATTATGGGAGAGTGTCCTAATGGGGCTTGTTTTTGGGTATGGATCCCTCTTGGGTAGATATAGAAGTAACTGGAGAAAATATAGGAGCTTGATCATTTTATTGGGACCCTTGTGAATCATGAGAGTGGGCTCTGAACCCCACAGCAGAGCATAGGTATTTTATGTTAGTAGTATTAATATGAAAATATGCATGAAGGTGTCCATCAGGAGTGCAAATGTAATGTAAAATTCTGAGAAGTTAGCCAATCAAGTGAACACCATTTTTTAAGATATATGTGCTAGACAATCTTGTAGTCATGCATTTATCCTTGTTTGGAAGTATTTATGAAATACTGTTTTGTTTCTGTATCTAATCCCACTCTACCAGTCACATAATTGTAGGGTAGAATTTATTGTGTGTAATCAGCATTAAGAAGGTATAGAAAAAGTTGAAGCCACAATTTGCCTTTTGCATCCTTCTGTATTTGCTGTATTAAGCTTTTTTATATTCTAATGTTAAAAATATCTGTAAACATTTCTACATTTATTTTTTTATTCAAAGAACACTTGAGTCCTGTTCTTTGCAAAGACTGCTAATATACCCCTAGTACTTATGATAAAGACCTGTCATAGTGATCTGTTGAACAGAGTGGACTATTCTAGTATATTTTCCAGCAAGTATTTTTTGACAGCATTTAAGCAACTTGCTTATCAGTGTTTAATAAGTTTGCCTGCTTGAGTAATCATTTTCGTGTTGCCAAAACATAACATAATTATCTAGCTTACACATTGATAACAATCCTTCAAATCTTTGATGTGATGTTGACCACTTGGTGAGAACACAAATAAAAACAGTACACTAGTGTACAAATAGAATAGTAGTACTCTCAGTTGTAAGATACTCTCTTTGTATCTTTTAAGGAACTTCAAATAGCTGTTTAGCATGTCTATAGTGTATCAATATTTACATTTTAAGGATTTTAACTATTTGAAATGTCTGTCTTGCAATTTCAAAACAATTTATGTTAAGAAAAACTATTATTTCAAGCTTATTTAATTTAGGTTGTAATTTTAACCTTTACTTAGTAATATTAATCTGTACTGGAGTTGTTATTGTTGCTTAACAATGCTAGCCATGATAAGATTTGTTATTGTTGTTTAACATTGCTGGCAATTATTAGATTTATTATTGTTGCTTAACAATGCTAGCAGTGATTAGATTTGTTATTGTTGCTTAACAATGCCAACCATGATTAGATGTGTTATTGTTGTTTAACAATGCTAGCAATTATTAGATTTATTATTGTTGCTTAACAATGCTAGCAGTGATTAGATTTGTTATTGTTGCTTAACAATGCCAACCATGATTAGATGTGTTATTGTTACTTAACAATGCTAGCCATGATTAGATTTGTTATTGTTTAGTAATGTCAGTCAAATGCCCATTATAGCCAAGATTTGCATAGGTGTGATGTTTTGCATATTAACACTAGAATAACTGAAGGGTGTCCATCAATTTTCTAAATGTATTTTTTTAAACTTTTTGTGCACCAAATTGCTTGTGGGTCTATAACTTTGTTGGTTAAAAGTTTCCTAATATTATACAAGTAATACAAAAACAAAAGTTCCATCAATATTGCAATTAAGTCCATTATATATATTTTACACAGAAAATAAGTGACCCTACCAAATCTTTTAATTAGTTTCTTACACTAAGCATTGTAACAAGTAAAAACTTAGAATTTCTCAAAATGATGCAATATGTGAACCCCACAGCTAGTGAATGCTATATAAACAAGTCAGTAATTTAAGGATCAAAATAATTTAGATATTGTTACTATAGCTATACTCATTAACATTGTGTCTCTCTTATGTAGGAGTACCAACAGTTTGTTATATTATGCTCTAACTCTGGCAGCTGGGTCTCTCGCAGGTAATATTTATCTCAATACTACTCTATCAGGATTTATTGAATTGCCAAGTATCTTAATAACAACGTGTTTGTTGGATTGGCTTGGTAGGCGCTGGTCTCTGTGCGGTTTCATGATTTTTGGTGGTTTCACTTGTATCATCATACAAATTCTGTCAACTGGTAAGAATCTCTCTCTTTCATTATTCTTTTCAGATTTCTTTTTTTTTCTTTTTTCATTATTTGAACTCTCATTTTAAGGCATCTTATTAAAACGTTGTTTTACCAAAAGAGTTTATCATTTACCAAAAAACATATAGGTTTGAAATCTTTATGGTTTATGTTACATGTTACAATTTCAAATCATTTAAAACTGAGTTAAATTGTAATTTAGATTTAGTAGTTAAATAAATGCCAATATGTATCCAATTTATGATATTTGCCAACAAGATTGATACACACAGTTTTCTTTTTTTTTTAATACCATTATATTTTATTATACAAACTATAATACAATTTACAATAATGGTTATACAAATAGTTATTTTGAACAATGATTTATATACAAAAGTTTTACAAACTTACAAGCAATATAAATTCTTTTTAATCTGGAACTTCCTTGATATGTTATCAAGGGTTCACAATGTGCGAGTTACTTTCGAGTTGACATAAATACAGTTCATTTAATAGGGAGCTAGCTAGCTCTGTGGTCTTCATTGATCACACACCGATTTTTTTCCACAGATGAAGTTGGGTAATGTTTCATAAAACTACTAATGTCTGATGTGAATCCACTGAAGTTAAATGGTTTGTAATGTTCGACATTTATAAATATTAGTGGTCAAAAATCTGAAGTGTCCCAATTAATAAGCATTATAACAATCACAGTTATAGCTTCTGACGTTTATAGAAAACCAATAATAGGTACTGTTTTTAGGTGCTGGTTATATTTATAGGCTTGTGGAGAGTTTCTCGAAATTTCAGTTACACAACAATACAAATGCTACATTAGCATTTACTTAAACACATATTGTTGATTCTTTTACTCGAGAATCTTCTACAACTTTAAAGAATAGGTGGGAATTTTGCAATACAGATTAAACAGTATAATTTAAGTCTGAAGGGGAAAGTGTAACTTTAAATAGTATAAGGATAAGGAATAGGATGGAAAATCAGATAATCAGCAGTTGAATAGTTATTAGTGGGTCTGAAGGGAAGATGCAACTTTGAATAGAATAAGGAGTAGGATGGAAAATCAGTTAATCAGCAGTTGAATAGTTAGTAGATCTGAAGGGAAGATGCAACCTTGAATAGAGTAAGGAGTAGGATGGAAAATCAGTTAATCAGCAGTTGAATAGTTATTAGTAGGTCTGAAGGGAAGATGTAACTTTAAATAGTATAAGGAGTAGGATGGAAGATCTGTTAATCAGCAGTTGATCAACAGCTAATTAAAACAGCTTATCAAAGTCAGGTGCCATCAATACAGAGTAAGCGCAGAACAAAGATTTCACCTTTTCAAAAGCAGATTGACATGTTTCAGACCATTTGAACTTTTGATTTTTCTTCAAAAGATTTGTTAATGGTAAAATAATGCCAACAAAATTTTTACAAAGCTTCCTGTAATAACTAGCCATTCCCAAAAATCTCATCAAACTTTTCTTGTTGGTAGGAGTTGGATAATTCATAATACAATCAACTTTGGCTGGAATTGGAGAAACTTGGCCATGGCCTACTACATGACCTAAGTAAATAACTCTGGCTTTACAAAAGTCAGTTTTTGCCAAATTCACACTGAGATTGGCTTTCTTAAGCCTCTCAAAAACATCACATAATACACATAAGTGTTCTTCCCAGGTGTCACTGGAAATCACAATATCATCAACATAAATTCCAACATCTGACAAACTGTTGAAGCATTGATTCATCATTCACTAAAAGTTGCTTGAGAATTTTTCATCCCAAAAGGCATTACATTGTACTGGTATAATCCATCAGGAGCAACAAAAGCAGAGATTTCTTTTGCTCTGTCAGTTTGAGGAGCAGCCCGGTATTCTTTTAGTAGATCACACTTTGTGATATATATGGCTTTTCCAATTTTATCAATACAATCCTACATTCTTGGAATGGGTAGGAAAATCTGTACAGAACTTAACTGAAACATCAGATTTAGGAATCAGTACACAAGGTGAAGAACAATCACTTTTACAGGGCTCTATAATGCCATTTTCCAGCATATAAGATATTTCTTTACGCATTTAATTGGCCTTGATTGAAATCATACTACAAGGATGTTGTTTCACTGGAGAAGCATCATCTATATCTACATCATGAACAGCGATATTGGTTTGATTAGGAATGTCCGGAAACATACATTCGTAATCGGTCAATAAACCAGCAAGTTGATTTTTCTCTTCGGGAGGCAAGTGATTGAGTTTTGAATCAAGATTGGCCAGAATGTCAGAGTTACTCAGTTTGGTGTTCTATTCATCTCCCATTTTTTCAAATATACGGGTGTCTAAGTCCAAGCAACTGTCATCGGTATCAGGAGAACACTCAATGGCTAAAATATTTTCTGAAGCATCTCAGATGTGATAGGACTTCAACTTATTGATATGACACAGCTGGGTAGCCTTTCGATGATCAGGTGTTTTACAACATAATCCGTACCATTATCTTTCTGAACAACCTCATAGGGACCATGATATGAAGACCATTTCACCAGGATGGAACTTGCATTCTTCAGTCTTGCGGTCATAAACATTTTCTCAATTCGCAAGCATGTGAGAGTCTGAACCGAAACTTGGAAACATAATCCAACAATTGCATTTCTTTCTGATCATCATTGTTTCTTCAGCAACTTCAAAGCACCAAGCATTGAATGGCCAAACACCAACTCAAACGGGCTAAACAACTCCTGAACTGACTCACGAACAGGAAATAATAATAAATTAACTCCTTCATCCCAGTCCTTCTCGTTATCGAGATAGTATGTCCACATCATATTTCTCAAGGTAGAATGGAATCTCTCAAGAGCACCTTGCGATTCTGGATGGTATGCACTAGATTTGATCTGTTTAGCACCGAGCTGATAAACAACTTGTTGAAACAACCCTAACATATAATTTGATCCCTGATCAGACTAAATTTCTTTGGGTAAGCCAACAAACTTAAAGAAATTATTCAAAGCCTTAGAATTTTTTTGGGCTGAAATATTTCTCAAAGGGATAGCTTCAGAGAATCGAGTTAATTTCAAGTTGGCGTAAATACAATTCACTTAATTGGGAGCTAGCTAGCTCTGTGGTCTTCACTGGTCACATGTCGATTTTTTCCCATTGATAAAGTTGGGGAATATTTTCTTAAAAGTACTAATATCTGATGTGGATCTACTGAAGTTAAATGGTTTGTAATGTTCATGGTCAAATATCTGAAGTGTCTCAATTAATAAGCTTTATAACAATCACGGTTATAGCTTCCGAAGTTTATAGCAAACCAATAATAGATACTTTTCTAAGGATCGTCACGTTGGTTATATTTATAGACATGTGGAGAGTTTCTCGAAATTTTAGTTATGCAACAATACAAATGCTACACTAGTGTTTACATACACATGTATATTGTTGATTCTTATACTCAAGAATCTTTTACAACTTTAGAGAATAGGCAAGACTTTTGCAATACAAATTTAACAGAATAAGTTATGTACATTTCTAAATGTATATTTAATTTAAATAAATATGTAATAGTAAATCTGTCACATTTAATACAAGCATTTTTACCTTGACCGAAGCACATTTCCCAAAAGCAGATTTAAAAACGATTTTTGAGTCCTATTTATGGTTCTCCATGTATAAAACAAGTTAGGTGTTTCCCAAATATAAGAAATAAAATTAAAAAGTACTTGTAACTCTGAAAGCCAAATTTTCTCAAATTTTGATTGATTATTTTCATAGGGTATGACATTTAATTCTGTCCAAAAAATTGTGTGATTAATTGTTTAAGGTCTTATTTCTGTTTTTTTGACACCCTCTTTCATGAAATTTTATTTTTTAGCTAAGTGTGTAGAAGCTGGAATGTGTTTCTTACTATTATCTTGATATGCAAAGTCTGTACATCCACAAATTACATATTAATATACATATCTTTGAAGTCAAACAAAAATAGTTAAATTCATGATTAGTAGTCTTAAAAATGAAAGTTAAAAACTTCAATTACTTAATGATATAAAAAAGAATTCTGTGTTATTTCACATGTATGATACAAGTGTTTATTGTTAAAAGTTAGAAAGTAATTTGACAGAAGTAATATTCCTTATAATTTTATTAGTAAAGTTGTTCTTTTTATGGAAATAGAAAGCCTCAAGTCTCTAAATGTACATTACTTTTGTATTTAAGTACAAAATCTAGGTTTTCACCAAAGTCTTAAACAGTTTCACTGATTCTGCTGATTATTATCTGTTTTGTTTTAATGTAACTGAGCTAAACAAATTGCCATTTCCAAGACAATATGTCACTTCTACCTACAGATCTTTCTTGCGCATCTGCCAGAGAGACTTGCATGTCACTCTAGCCTTGAAGTGACTCCTACCTAATTTCATGTAATTTTATTTTAATTGAGCTACTGCATGATGAGTTCATCATATGAAAAAGCCATCCAAGACCAATAGAAGGGCAGTACACTTCCATGCACAATAACTTTCCCCTATGCACTTGCACTTGTGAAGCTTTATTATTTTCCTTGTCACTAAATAACACAGACAAGTTTCAGTTTTTTTCAAGTTGCTGAGATTTGCATTTTTTTACAAATCTTGTGTTTTCTTATACTTAGTTTATTATGAATTCACAGTTTAATGTGTCTTCAACTAGTTCTTGTGTTAGTGAAGGAATTACTCACTGTGGATTCTAAGGCTTGCTAACTCAGCATGATTTGACAGCCATTGTTCAATGAGTTGTGAGATCCATTATGTAGCCAGGTCATTCCATTCCCATCCATTCATCTGGCATACCTTCCCCTCAATTTGAAACTGAGACTGAGGAAAATTAATTTGATTTCCTTTTTGTCCCTCCTGGATTTGCCTTAAGGTCCTTCATGCCAGCTGAGGAAAGCCCTCAAACTTACTTGTTTTATCAGGACTTAACCTCTCAGGTATGTCCTGTTCTTTCTATTTCTCCTGTGTCTTTTGACAATTTGTGGTTCTTACTTCATAACCATAACCCTATTAATTTTTTAATATCTCATTCCTCTCCTGACATTGGTGTTCATACCAATTCATTCCAAGATGAACTTCATACCCATAATTCGATGACGAGGAACACACTTTGATACTAATAATGGCTGGAGAT